AATTAAAATAAATTTACGAGTCTCACTAGCGCTCTGTTCTTCCGACAGATCGGGAGAGAGGGGGCGGTGTTTTGCGTGATGCCGACCTGCAAATGCAGACACTATGGCTGGATTGCGTTTATATTACACTAAGATCCGATCACAATGCGTCCTCCTCTACCTCTGGACCAGGACACACTGATCGGATAACATTCTGATCAGAAGTGCGTTTACACTTGTCTTTTCAATGTGTATGTGGACAACATCCGAATACAGGTCGCATGTTATTGCCAAGTGTAAACGCAGCCTTATGCCGAGTTCACACTGCACGATTTTAGCCCGATTTTTCACTCGCCGACAGGTTTTGCAAAATCGCCGACAAATGCCCGAAATCGGAAGCAAATCGGTGCTCGTTCACGCGAGTGACAATCACGCAGTGTGAATTATCAAAGACGCGATCTGAGGGAATCGCCAACGCCCGTGAGGGTTGAGCTTGACATAATGAGGAGGGATGAATATGAAAGAAGATATTGACAAGAGCAAGATAGGCCATATTTATTTATTTATGTATGTATTTTTTTACAATAAATCAGTGTTCCTCAACTGTGGTAAAAAGAGGGCTTGCCAATAGTGAGAAAGGTTTTTAGAGGCAAAATAATTTATTAGATTTTAATGAAATATTATGAACTGGAATAACGTGCATCGAAGAGTAATCATAATACAACTAGGAACATATATCAAGAAAGTAAAATGTGTCATTTTTCTATTTCATGTCGACTTTTGCCTGCATCTCATAAGCACAACTCTGGAAAAGTATACTATAAACATATATATTTTATTCTAAACATTGATGTATTTAAATGTATTCAAATTTCCATGTTTTCTTTAAATTACAATTTGAATATGTATTTATACATTTACATCGGCAGCATATGATATGAGTAGGAAAAGTTGTGTACTTGTATCTACACAAGCTTTAAACAGAACATTACCTATTCAAATGCCACAGTTTTACTCTTGTCCAAAGAAAAGAGTGCGCGACAACTGACACAATTCTATTGGTCCTTAATAATGGAGTGTTTTTGACTCGGAAACTCAGTTTTGAGCTTTATATTAATAATGAAACCAAAAGGAGCAGTTCAAGAGTTTCTAAATAAATCAGAGATGTTTTAACACGGGTAAATTAAATATCTTAGATTGTGTTAGGTGGCCTCTAATGCTACCCCAGATATTCGTTCAGTGTGAAACCAACAGTGATGCGACGTCTTTGAAAATCGTGCAGTGTGAACTCGGCATTAGTCACAAACCACATTGGTGAAAGCAGTTCTATGCAAAGACGAGACCAGACGATGTGTGTGTTTGGTGCTGGCTTCTAAAAACCAACTGATGAGGCTAATGGTAGACAGGTGTGGTGATTGTGGAATGTGAGCAGGTGTGAGCCAGGAGGGGCTCTGGGAAACGTAGTGCACAGAAGTGACAGGCATGATTACTGGTGAGGTGACAGGCAAGTGACTGGTGATCCTGGTGATCCTGGCAGAGAACAGGAGAACATGATTTATGCAGACCAAAATGTGCAGTGAATTGTTGGCTAGTCTGAGCATGTAAACATCAAAATTCGAGAGCCATTTAGAAACCAATGATTTTATATAAATTTCAGTGTTTGATTTTAAGAATCTTGTCCAAAGAAAAGAGTGCGCGACAACTGACACAATTCTATTGGTCCTTAATAATGGAGTGTTTTTGACTCGGAAACTCAGTTTTGAGCTTTATATTAATAATGAAACCAAAAGGAGCAGTTCAAGAGTTTCTAAATAAATCAGAGATGTTTTAACACGGGTAAATTAAATATCTTTGATTGTGTTAGGTGGCCTCTTGATGTCTAATGTAGTAATACCAGCCAGAAAAGATCCACAGAAAGGGAGTATGGATGGTGTAATTTGTGCCCAGACAGCATGGATCTTTTTGTTTATGTTGCATGACTATACTAAGATTAAGGATAGCATTTATGGGTTAGTAAAACCTTTAGAATAAAAGGTTACACTTTATTTTAAGGTGTCCTTGTTACGGTGTAATTATACATATAATTTCTGAGTAATATTAATTAACTACATGTACTTACTATATGGTTAGGGTTAGGATTTGGGTTTGACTTAGGGTTACTTGCATGTAATTATGCATAATTAATTGTTATTATAATAGTAAGTACATGTAACATGTGTAACAAGGACACCTTAAAATAAAGTGTTAGCGAATAAAACCTTCAGAATCAACAGCAGATTTGCTCTTAGCCTAGTGATGTGTCGTTCGCGAACAAGTATTTCATAATACAAGACAAACTAATGTGATGATTTTTGCCGCACTGCTTGTTAGCCACGCACACTTCATGTACTGACTTATGTCAAAGGGACTTTTCTTATGTTGCTTTGATGTGTATGTGATGATTCTCGCTTGCGATTGGTTGCACACACAAACACATCAACAGATTAAACACACATGCACAATGTGACAGGGTTAATAGATATAACGATACTGGATGCTTCTGTTTTGCACACTGTAATTCATTTTTTATCTGTTATATGGCACACCATGTTACATTTTGAGTTTGGTTTCTTTATGATAGTTTGTGTTTTGGATGGTTCACTACCCTGACAGCACATACCTTGATACATCACATCTATTTATTGTCTGCATTTACATCTGAAAGATGTATTTTTTAGAGTGTTTGCACATCTGCAATATGTCAAATTTCATATCAGATGTTAAATCGATGTTTAGAAAATGTCTTGAAGACGTTTATTATTTAGAATGTATGTAAATCTGCTTTTTCTATGATGTTTATCAGATGTTTCTACACAGCAGATGTTTCCCAGATCAAGCGCTCTTTAGCAGATATCTTAGAGACGTACCTGTGCAATCTGGGTAATAACGTTCTGTAATAGTGTTTTATACTTTTACATAAATTAGGTTTTTGGTTTTTATACCAAAAAAGAATGTAAAAGTATGGTATTTCAGAAAGGTTTATGGAGCCAGAAATATGACAAAATGATTTGAATTTGAATTGTAAATCTGAATTATAGTGTAGTTGAACAAAACTGAATATTACATGGCATTTTATAGTTTTGAATTTTATTTTTTTTAATTATTAAGTTTAATTACTTTGAATAATTTAATTATATTTGTGCAAACATACCAGACATAGGTCAAAACATTGACAAATTTGGCTGAATTATAAAAGCCAGAAGTGGTACTAAATAAAGAGCTGTTTGGGAGCCGAAAGAGCCGGTTCTTTTTGCTGAGAGCCGAAAGAGCCGGTTCTTTTCGCTGAGCTGAGCCAAATGATCCGGATCCCTAAAAAGAGCCGGAATTCCCATCACTACACTCTAAAAAAAAAAGGTGCTATATAGCACTAAAAGCGGTTCTTTGGCTTGTAATCATAGGGGAACCACTTTTAGTGCTATTTAGCACCTATTTTTACAGGTGCTATATAGCACCTTTGTCAAATAGTGTCATGTAGAACCTTTTTCTCAACAATGGTGCACCAATCATAACTCATCCATGGCTCCCAGCGTGCATTGCGACATGAATAAATTATGCAGCTGCATTGTCTTAGTATTTTCTTTTATTCTTACTATTTGCTTTGATTTTTGTTGTGACTTTTTACTGCCCTGTTTTCTGATGTTCAAAAATCATATCAAAATTATCAGAATATTTTGTCACCATTGCTGAGATTCACATGCTGATTCTTCATGTCTATGAGTGACAGAATTGAAACCTCTCTATACCCATAATTCTAAAAGTGGTTTATACAATTTTCTCACATTGTCACGTAGTATCGTAGAACTGCAATAATATAAAACTCATAAAAGAACTACAGATTATGATAAAATGCAACCAGAGACTCAGATGCATGAAATTATTTTACCATAAGTTCCTTGCCGTGTGGTGCTATATAGCACCTCATCGACTCCAAAGAACCGCTGAAGAACCGTACAGGGGCTTAACAGGTTCTTTATACGGTAGTGGTAGAACCGCTGAAGAACCTTTTTTTTAGAGTGTATCTTAGCCAGTTAGGGGAAAAAGTCCCACTTTTATGTTGCGTAAAACACCATATTACTGTACATAGTTTGTGTGAGAATTTAAGATTCTGATCTGATAAGTATCTGATATTTTCCTGTAGATGCTGAAGAAGATCAGGAAGGAGGAACCGCAGGAGGACAATTCCACCACTGAGCTTGACGCTCTTCAACACACTGACTGGGTAAAAGACGTGCTTATTAGAGCTGTAGTTGACATAGTAGTTTCAATTACTCTTACTTGTCTTTGTGATGTCCAGCTGTATAAGCGGATGTAATGATGGAGATGTGTGTTTGGTGCCTCAGGCTCGTCTGTGGGTGCAGCTGATGAAGGAGTTGAGGCAGGGCGTGAAGCTCAAGAAGGTGGAGGAGCAGCCCTTTAACCCTCTGCCCACAGAGTTCAGCCTCACGCCCTTTGAGATGCTCATGCAAGACATTCGCTCACGCAAATATAAACTACGCAAAGTTGTGGTGAGTGCACTTTAACTACACTCGTGCTGAAGACACTGAAATGGCACCGAGGTTGCTGTAGTAAGTACATTTTGAGTGGTTTATCCCCACTTAATCTCATCTTAACCTGGTAAATCGACTATATGTGTGAGATTATGGCTTTGGAAAGACTTTTCAGCTGATGCAGCATGACAGTGATTAGCCATTGTCTTTATATATGATAATAACTATAATATCATGCGTCTGTGCCTCTTTTTCTTCTGCAGGTAGATGGAAATATTCCCACGTGTGTGAAACGAAACGCTCATGAGCTGATCTTGGACTTTATCAGATCAAGACCCCCTCTTAAACCAGTTAGTTGCTCACAATATCTTATAACTAATCTGAAGTAACACCATATCCTAACCAGACACAGCCCTATACACAATATGAATACAATCACTTTCATATAAATTTACCAGTCACAACCACAACAAGCAGCAGGATATTTTGTTTGTTGCTGGGTTTCTATATTTGCGGCGTTGCACTAACGTGCCAGTCCATTGTGAAATCTCATACATCGTTCCACTCCACACAGCACTTTTCACAATTCTATTCCATGCCCTAAACCAACCAACTTTGAGATCATAACATTATAAACTGTGAATTGAATCAAAAAAAGTATATTGAAAATTTATAGTGAAATCTTGAGTACTTGAGGCAGTGAACGGCTTATACCATAAAGCATTGTGAATGAATGTGATTAAATAAAAAAAAGTCCCCTTAAGGCAAGTCATTTCACTCAGTGGCCATCTTTGAAACGCCTCTCGGGCATGCAAGTGCAGCTCCCATCTCTTTGAATGGGGAAACATCAAATTCTCCAAAACTGTTCACTAAGCTTACAATTAAATTTCATATTTGAAATCACCAATGAAATCTGACAACAACTGTCTCATAAATGTTGTTTCTTTTGCTCAAATAACGTTAAAAAAGCATGCACAGTCCTAAGCACACGTCTCCAGAACGCTGACTGTTTCTATAGCAACCAGGACTTCTAACGGCAGCTACAGTGACGCAATGACTTTACCGAATAGCGATTGGGTCTTTTATTCAGAAGGCGGGGCTTCCTTCAATAGAGTGGCCATACTGAGCATTGCATTTTTCCCCCTTAAAAACTATACGAGAGACACATCTTGGGTATTCTATAGTCTTAGGTACAGTATGACTATGCTATTGACAAAATGTAATTATGACAAGTGTCCACATATATACAAATATGTAAAAGTAGTGAAGAGATAATATAAGGACACTGATTCGATTATGTTAATCACTATTCTCCATAGGAATGGGTAATCACTGCTGAGTTCTTGTGCTGTGAATTCCGTTTTCATGGTAACACTGACTTATCTGATTGGTTGATTACATTCAAACTGCTTCATTAGCATGACATATTTTTGTACTTCTTGCCATAGCATAACGATGTTCGTCATTATCGGTAATTCTAGGAATCTTTAAATGTTAATTTGGTCCCATTTTATATACCATTTTATAAGTGTCTTTAACTACTATTTATATGTTTAATAAGTATTTAATTACAGATGTGATTAAATGCATGTATCTAAAATGTAAGTACAATGTAACAACATGTATGTACAAGTACACTGCATCAAATGCTATTTTTTTTTACCTACTATGTATCACTAGCTGCTGCATTGCTTTAGTAAAATTATCCTAGATTCTCAAAAGAAGAGAAAGAAAGAGAGGTAAACCATCAGTGAATACAGTTTCTCCCAAAATGTGTATACTGTTTTGGTTTTAAGACTGTCCTGACGTCTGCAGGTGTCTGAACGCAGCCTGCCTCCTCCTCCCCAGCGGCAGCAGTCGCTCCATGATCGAGTCCTGGCTGAGATCAGACAAGATCACAAACTCAAACCTGTGGAGCCGTCCAGTTCAAAGAGATGTAGGTTAACCACATGCTACAGCTAAACACTATGTTAAAAACAGTATTGGTCCTCCATAACTTCTAAAGCTCTCTAGTTTTCTCGTTGTGTGTTAAATTACTCACAGCTATGTTTTGTCTCTCTTCAGCATTTGGCTCATTACCCTGTCTGGCACACACCTGCCAATGTGACATCAAATCAACTTCCTGCATTGACCTGTCAATCACAGGAGCAGGGTCCCGCCCACCGTCTCGCATACGTGTTCTTCTAAAAGCTCCAACACTGGCAGAAATGGAGGAGATGAATATATTTGAGGTGAGAGATTTCAGTGCAGTCAGAATTACTTCTGTGATCTTACTACTGCAGCAATGGTCTTGAAGATGATTTCCCAAACTTAAAGACTTTAAGTTGACTTTAAAGGGGTCATATGATGTTGCTAAAAAGAACATTATTTTGTGTATTTGGTGTAATGAAATGTGTTTATGCGGTTTAAGGTTAAAAAAACACATTATTTTCCACATACTGTACATTATTGTTTCTCCTCTATGCCCTGCCTTTCTGAAACGCGTCGATTTTTACAAAGCTCATCGGTTTGAAAAGCGAGGTGTGCTCTGATTGGCCAGCTATCCAGTGCGTTGTGATTGGCCGAATACCCCAAGCGTGTGACGGAAATGATACGCCCCTCACCATATTGCGATGATGCCCTGTCCGGCCGGAGCGATGATTCAAAAACATTCATGACTTATACTGTATTTTTACACATTGCGTAAATATACATAAATATAAAACCATGTCTGCGGGCTGGAAAGCCGATCCGGCAATCCACAGCGTGAAGTTGAAGTATTTCCTCAGCGACCAGCACGGATCAGCTCCAGGCATGACGAAGCAGATATCGTCCTCTTTTGGAAG